GTCGCCAAGACCAAAATGACCCGTTTACTGCGCATCAAGATGTCGCCAAATCCCATTATTATTCTAACCAAAGAATGTCTATGCAAAGAAAGAAGAAAAGGTTCCATACAAGTAAAATGCTATTACGCCGCTAGAATGCGGAAGGAAAATTTGCCAAGGGTTTTGGCGACGTAACCTGGCGGCCATAATTTCCCTCTCCGCGATGTGTACAGGAAATTGAGAAACACGTGTTAAGAAGAAACACTCTTTGACAAAAAGAAAACTACGAAAATCCATTTTTAAATTATTGCGAAAAATCCAAAAAGAAACGTTTTATCATAGGACGTTTCTTCTTGGACTTTTTGCAATAATTTTAAAAACGGATTTTCGTAGTTTTTTTTTCCCATGAAAATAACTAATCCATGAATTAATTTACTTGCGCCAAAAAATATTTTCTTTTCCTTTAGAGTTTAACCACTTGCGCTAAAACTAAACTTCACGGTTGCGGTGCCGTCGTGTGCACCGCGTTATTTTCATTTTTGCGATAAATGCTTATCGACGTGGTGTTCACGTCGCTCGCGGTGTGAGACAAAAGCATCTTGACGTGCGTGGCACGTGTTTTTAGCGCAAGTGGTTAAAGAAATTTTAAACGATATTCATTTTATGAACTCTTGATAACGTGACCTTCGAACTTCGACACCGGTTTCGAGCTTTGGCAACAGATATATCAGACATGCACAGCTGTTTCCCTCTATGATGGAACGGAGCCACAGCCACGTCTGTTGCAGAGAGGTTTTCCTTCTTTACAATACATATTCTTTGATTCTAACCTCCATGGTACCGTATACTAGGATTAAACCCATTTTGTTTTATACGAGAACAGGTACTTTCTTTAGTTCATGCACTGCGCATGCGATTCTCGAGAATACTGGAAACCAAAAGTTGCTTTGCCTTTCTAAAAGACAATCAAATTGGAGCTGCGAAAATTGGCTCTATGCCAGCTACCCGAATGACACTCACGTGATACATAATTCGCCAAAAAGTTACCTCTTCCGACGTCGGCGCAAAAATCGCTTTTTTTGGCTAGGATCGTTGTATGAACTTCCCTGACTTTTCCAGATTTTGACAAAAATACTTAAATTCCCTGACTTTTCCCTGAATATTTTGGTCAATTTTCGAATTCCCTGACTTTTCCCGGTTCTCCCGGTTTTCCAGGTAGCGTGGCAACCCTGCATACATATTTAAAAATTCAAGAAAATATTTCTTCTGCCGGGAACAATTAAAATGAAATGAAAATACATCTCCGATCAAAATTTAATATTGATTTAAGCAAATACTAGTGTATGTTATCTTTTCACCTATTAAAATTTTACTGAAATACAGCTTTTGCCCACAAATATAAGAAATGAAAAAATTTACTGAATGGAACGTTATAAACAAAATGTACCTACTAATAATGTTGAGTTAAATATTTAGCCTTTTGTATTCCAGGGAAACAAAGCACGGCATGAAGATTACTCTGTTTATATAATAATATTATGCATTATTAAAAAGTACCAAAGAAAGTAAAAAATGCTTCGCTTTTTTATATAAAATTAAAAAATTAACGTTGAAAAAATTTAACAGACGTTGAAATGTTATAAGGCATTTCTCACGCCTTCGTAGTGTAGTGGTCAGCATGCTCGGCGCGTATTCAAGAGGCCCATGGTTCGAGTCCCAGCGAAGGCGTTGACCATTTTTCATCTCTCCTTGCTTCAAAAAAAACCTAATGCCTCTACTATGTGATGAAAGTAAGTTGTCTCAATATGGATTAAAAATAAGGAGGTTAAGTAAAGAAAATAACCTATTTCTGTTATAATGTATTTCTTCCGCCTTCCAGCATGCCTTCGTGCTGTAATGGTCATCACACTTGGCGCGTATTGAAGAAGTCAGAGGTTCGAGTCCCAGTGAAAGCATTGCTCATTTCTTTGATTTCCTTGCTTCGAAATAACCTAATGACTCCACGGTGGTGCCCAGACTAAAAAAGGTCGTGGATGATGATTCTTCACCACCAGAATTTGGCAATTGCGTCCCTAATCCCCAGCCGCCCTTTAAAAGGGAGGTATATAAAGTATTTCTTTCGCCTTCTTACCATGCCTTCGTGGTGTAATGGTCAGCATATTCGGTGCGTATTCGAGAGATCCGAGGTTCGAGTCCCGGTGAGGGCATTGCTCATGTTTCCCGCCTTCTGCTTCCAAATATCCTAATGTCTCTACATTATGAGAGAAACATATTCATCTTAATAAGTTAAAAAATAGCAAATTAAATAATATTTGTAAATTAGATTACAATAGCAATTAGTGCCATAGTAGAAGTTAGTTTATAACTATAACACGAAGCATGGGTAGAATTTTGTCCTGTTAGGTAAATAAAAATTTTAGATTACCTTTTTGTGCAGAATTTCATAATGTAACTGTCATTCAGTAAAGTGATGGTCGAGAGTTTAATTTTGAATCTCGCTGCTAGAAAACTGAGATACATAGAATAATTTGATGATGAAACATTCTATCGCATTTAGTATAAAGTAATTATTAAAGAAGAAAGGTAAATTTACTGAGCAAAATACGGTAGTTCTTTATAAAATTATCTAAACGGCGATCTGCATCCCACTTATTGACCGTTTTGTTGCTAGAGGCTTGGACGTCCACAGCTGGTACCAAATTCATCTTATAATTGCACCATATTATTTTTTCCATTCTTGAAGTTATATAAACAACGTCGTTTTTGTACCACTTCTACTCGAAATATGTTAGTGTTACGACAGCATGTTCGGATAGCAATTGAAATTTTACTCGATTTGAAATTAGGCAAAGCAACAACCATAGTTTGGAATAGATTTCCAACAGAACTCTATCGGTCTCAGGTCCCTTTTTGTTAGGAGAAAAAAAAAATGCGTTTCCTGAAGAAGACAGCCCTGTTTCTGATCCTCCTCCAAATCGATAGGGTTTTATTGAAAACATATGCCAGACTAATGCTGCTGTTTTACCGAATTTTAAATTTTACATTGGTATTTTATCTTCCAACCTTATCTTTATCACATTGGTATTTTTATCTTCCAGTTTGTCTAGATCTGTATTTTAGAGAGGGAAACTCTCCAGTTTAGAGAATGCGATTAACCTCGTTTAGAAAAACCACCCATAGTTCCAGATGATTTTTAAATTCTGCAGAATTAGTTTTCTTAAAGAAATGATGTTTGATTATTAATATTGATTCATTATTATCAATCAATCATCCAACAATTATAATGTGCTTTCAAAAATATTGGTGACTCTCAAATGGAATTACTGCCTCTAAAATTTACTCACTGCTATTTCTTCAATAATTCGAAACATTTTCACAGTATTCTTTGATGTAAATTCACATTATTTGATAAATATCTGACAGAAAAGGAAACATTATTAGTACTTTAACATTATTTTTATCCTCATTTAAGTTAAAATAGAAGTTTAAAAGTAAGTTATCACAATTTCCATTCCTGCAAACTGAAAATCAAATCTACGAAAACGATTCTTCACACGTTTTGGATACAGTGTGTTGTAAATTTCTAAAAAATGAAGATCCATCAGATAAGTCTTTATTCCTTTTCCGTAACCATGAAAGTTATAATAATTATCATTTAAATTTCTTTTAGCAGTCCTCGGTGTTATCGTAAATAAAACTCTCAGAAAGCGCGTGTGTAATATATTGTATTATGACCATATATGGAGGAAATGGAAACACACAAACCTTGCCTCGATACTGCAGAACCGAGGACTGTAGTGAAATGACCAAATAAGGTTAATCAAAAACACACTCGTCCTTAATCCGACACCGCATTAACAAGGACTAGATAGTATTCTGACCATATTTGGAATGCACATGTTCACTTCGAACAGCAGTAAGGAGAACTAGCTTTTTCTGGCATGGAAGCGTGGCCCCAATTTTTGCACAAAGATGCACAGCCCATACACAGTTTTACACAGAAATAAACTACTTATATTCATACCAAGGACATAGCTCAGATTTGGCTCATAATTGGTTTCTACATGGATCCGAGGTCCCTGATTGCGATTCTGGAAATATTTTCAACCGAGGATGTCCTCGGTTCTTCAAAAGTCCTCGGTCAGAAGGTATGTATACATATTTCCGTCCTCAATTTACACCCTAGGCGAACACACACACACACACACACACAGACAAACAAACAAACAAAAAAAATTCTATCAAAACCAGAAGCACAGAACAGAAACTGATGTTCATACATGAAGGTCAAAAGCCATATGACTTAACCGATGTGAAAAACCATTACCATTTAGCACCATTCTACTGGCATTTAAAAATTCAAAAAAATTGTTCCATTTTTTATGTTACATATATGCGACAATGGGCTCGTAAGAGTGGAATTGTATTGCACCTACATGACATTAATCCTGAACAGGTGAAGGTAACATTTCTGATTTAAACTACCTGGAATAATAACTTTTAGTTTTCAAAATCAAATTCTCATCAGTTATTTCAAAGTCGTTCCATAGCAAATTTAATTTTGGGACAATAAACCATGTTTAAATGTACAATTTTTTCTGAAAACAGATTTCTTTCACAGCCTATGTTTAAGGACATTAAAGATAACAACCATTAAAATGAAAAATAAAATAAATTGAAAAGTTAAAAAATTAAATTAAAAAAAAACAGAATTCCACTTAGCATTATTAGTTATCCAGAATCCAAATTACATGTTGCAGACAGAAGACTGATAAATAACTTTGTTCTTTGTTATTTGCTAATGAGGGGTGAAGTTTTTTTTTTTTTAAATGAAAATAATTTGTTTTATCCTGGAATGAAGCCTAATACAGTACTGATATATCACAGACAAGAGGTACTGAACAATTAAACTTTGCTTTGATTTATCTTAAATGCCATAGTTTTATCCTTACAGTATCTTACCAATTATTTACATTATTTATCCAAAACAGAAAAATTATATTTTAATAATAATACAATACCTGACATAAATTTTTTTCACCATCTTTGCTCATGCTTACACTAACGTAAGGATACATTCTGACAGAGTTTAATAACTGAGAACTCCAATTATCACATTGAAGTAAAGTTCCCTTTTTTTCAGTTGTGATTTCTTCTATAGCTTGTAAATGAGATAAGAAATATTCATCTGGAAATGAAATAATGAAAAAAAAATTAAACTTTTTTCATACATGATAGATAATTTATTTATCATAAAATTAACTGAAAACAATAACTAAACAAAATAAATTGAATCTAAAAAATACAGTATAAGTTAAATTCTCATTATGATTAAAGAATGCATATATTTTCTAAATCATATGTTTCACACATTTTTTAGAATCTATAATTTAAATAAAATTTTTAATTTAATTAAATAGAACAGGTTTTATTAAAACTTTAAAAAATACAAAAGGCCAAAGAAACATAAATGATTTAGCAAACACAGGTAAGTTTTAATTTTGAAATTAAAAAATATTAAATAAAATATCAATAATTACAAATATGATCATTGACTTTTATATATACGCATATCTCTGAATAACATCTGAAGATTTCTGACAGTATTGCTATGCAGCAATTTCATTCAAACACTCTAGCTATTTGAATTGTTTGTACTTACAATCGCTGAATTTTACATTACATTAAATAACATAATAATTTTTATATTTAAAAACTTTTTGAAAGTAATATACAGTCAAAAGTCATTAATCCGGACTCGTCGGGACTTTGGCGATTCCGGATTATAGATCATCAGTTTAAATCTCGTAAGATGGCATGCAGAAATTCTAAAATTAGAAATATGAAACCGCAATTTATGAAATAAAGAACAATTATAATCTAAAGGGTATCAAAATTTACAAAAAAAAAAAAAAAAAAAAAGCTTAATATTTATTTGTTTACTTTATTAAACATTTCTTTCAAGGTAAGTTTTTTAAGTTGCTTCGTTTTATGTGATAATACTTTCTTTTTAATTCTATAAACAGACATAATTTCTTGTTCAGTTACAAAGTTCCGCTGTTCAAGTCCCGTTAATTGCTGTGCCGAGAATACTGACTAACTTGTCAATCGAAATTTTTTTGTTTTCACTAACCTCTCTGTCACATTCTTCATGTCTTTATCCATTTTTTGCAGCAATTCCACTTTTTGTTTGTTGAACATCGAAGCATACTTTCGTTTTGTAGATCCTTTGGAAGTTACAGCATCGGAAATTCTATTTGACATAATTGAAAGTTCGAGTTTACTTTTATAAAATTGCTCTTACAGTCTGCAAAAAATAATAAGCGGTATCCAATTCGAAGATTAAGGAACAACGCAATCATTAACATTAACTGAAATAGATAATTAGATAATTTTAGCTTACACCGTCCGTTATACATTAAACGCACAGGCAAAAACGTATTCTGCACTTGCGCACACGCATATGCGCAGTAGTCAAGATCTTACGTGCACGCGTAAAACGCTTGTGCGCATGTCCCAACGCGGTGCATGCGCAGAAAGTTTTTAGCTTTGAGGTCCGGATTATAGATCATTCTGGATTATGGGTATCCGAATTAATGACTTTTGACTGTATAAATTTTTACATCTAAAACCTCTCTCTTTCTAGTTCTATATATTTACATTTATAGCCTTCCATTTTTCTATGGAAAGGAAGAACAAATATGTATTTACTACTTTTTATATCAATTGCAAACATTTTGGTTTAACCCCTTCACCATTTCCTCCAAGACAAATTCACTGATTTGAAAAATGCTGTCAGTAGCTTCAAATTAGCTTAAACCTTAATACAACACACACATATATCATACATACATACATACATATATATATATATATATGTAAGATAAAATTATATGAATCAGAATTATAATATAACTATAAACATTAATTCTTTCTCTCTATTCTAAAATCGTAATAACTTCTCTGCATCGCGTCATTTCTAGATCACTTTATGGCCCGCGCAGCTCTGATGACGTAATAATTGTAAACCAAAACTTTTCTCTTCGCCGTGATTCCATTTTCATAATTACGCACTTCAACTTTTGCTCTCTACGGTGCTAAGATGTAATTTTGCTGGCTTGCTTTCTATCTCAACAACATCAAAAATGTAAATCTTCTGTGGAAAGGCACGACTAGAGTGCCAAGTGATTGTGGCCACAAATATCAGTTGCAAATAAAAATGGAATTAAAACTGCCTCGACTGCCAAGTTCTTTAGATATTACCAAGTTAGCATTAATAGCATACTATGCAATCAAAATTCTTCTTCAATATGAGTCTAATCACGCATTTACAGTGTTCCATCTTTTCCTTTGCTTTTATTATGACAATTAAGCCGGTAGGATCCTTTCCTGCAGCCTGAAACCTCAATGGAAAATTTAGTTCAGCTCTTCAAATCATCGTTTTGTGATACATCCAAGATAACGTGAAAGAAGTGAATCATCAAATTCGCTTTTTCAGTGTTTAAAAAATAACAGATCAATCTTCTGCTGTGGTGTTTTGCAAATGCTTCAAAAAAAATAATCACGCGTAGTGTTTACAGATTGAAAGTAATCTCTCGATAAATTGAGAAGTTCGAATGCCTAGTGAAAAGGAAATCATCAGTGAATTACCGTTTAGGAATTAAGCATTACAGCGGGTTCAAGGTCTATCTGAGTTAGTGTTTGCAAGTATGTGAGACAGAAAATTATTTGCACTTCCGCTTTTTCAACAGCTCAAAAATTATTTACATTTGTGTGGAATCTAGTTCAGGAACTAAATTATTTAATGTGCTGCGGAATTCTATAGTTTTCATTTCAGCTTTGGTTTAAAATTTCTGCAATTTGTTTTGAGAAAATCTGAAATTCTTGTTCATTAATTTTTCTAATTTTTCATAATTATGTGTGAGCAAATTAAGTAATGAATTTTAAGCTATTTAAATTATTCATAGAGAAGGATATTAAGATAAGTTTTTATGTTTTTGAAGTTTTTGAAATTTTGTTGAGAATTTTGAATACGAATTTTATAATTATTCTAAAAATGAAGTAGGTGTAAAAATAAGTTAAATTATTACAGATACGTAATATGAAATTATGGTAAATGCATGTTAAATTTATGGGTTGATTGTATGTTAAGTATAGTGTATGTCGAGGGAGTTCTGGGTTCCTAAGCAGAGGCCTGTAATTACCTCTGTACAGTTGTTCCCTTCACCCTCTTGAAGTAAGATAATGTTGGAGGCTCTCATTTTATGAGTGTGTAATTTTTTTATATTATTATATTTTTTTATTATGGAATGTATTAGTGCAGTTCTCAAAGGCCAGTTACCTTAATGCAAGGAACGGAGGCCTTTTCAAGTAACTGCCTAGGCACCCTGGGCCACCAGTGCAGAGAACACACTGGTTAGCTCAAGAGGACAGCCCTATTGATGAATATGTTTGTTTAGAAGTATTGCGAGGCTTCCAGTTGGTAAAATACAGGAATTGTAAATGAAAGATAATAACGGTGAAACCATATTTTCTGAAGCTTATTCCTATTATTATATGGTATTAAAATATAATTTATCAATATGAAAATTAATATCATAAATATTTATGTGCATTTAATTATAAGTAATGATTATGTAAAAGTTTATTTTGTGATATTCTGTGATAACAAGAACCTTCCCTGAAGAATTATGATTATGTGAACTCTCAAACAAAAAGACTTTTGGACTGAAATGCTGAAAAATTCAATAGGACTCTAAAAATTAAAAATTTATTTATAAAAATTGATATTTATAAATTATACTTTACAGGACAAAAATTTTATGATTTATGTTTTTTTCTTTCTTTCTTCTTTTTTTACATTTGCTAGTGCTTTAACTCTTTCTCTTTAAAAAGGCTTCTTTGTTGCTACGCCTTTTTCTTTTTGAAGGGGGGAATATGTAAGATAAAATTATATGAATCAGAATTATAATATAACTATAAACATTAATTCTTCCTCTCTATTCTAAAATCGTAATAACTTCTCTGCATTGCATCATTTCTAGATCACTCTATGGCCCACGCAGCTCTGATGACGTAATAATTGTAAACCAAAACTTTTCTCTTCGCCATGATTCCATCTTTCATAACTACGCACTTTAGCTTTTGCTCTCTACTGTGCTAAGATGTAATTTCGCTGGCTTGTTTTTTATCTCAACAATATCAAAAATGTAAATCTTCTGTGGAAAGGCACGACTAGAGTGCCAATGATTGTGGCCACAAATATCAGTTGCAAATAAAAATGGAATTAAAACTGCCTCGACTGCCAAGTTCTTTAGATATTACCAAGTTAGCATTACTAGCATACTACGCAATCAAAATTCTTCTTCAATATGAGTCTAATCACGCATCTACAGTGTTCTGTCTTTTCCATTGCTTTCATTATGACATATATATATGTGTGTGTGTAAAATAAAAATATTTAACTATAAAGTATAATTTTAATTAGCAAGTCCTTGATTCCTCTTTTTAATTTGGGTACTTCTCTGCTCTATTCTAAAAATAGTAATTTTTTCTGGAGTATGTCATTTCTAGATTAATGCCATCATATGACTTTTACAAAAACTTTCTGTTAATAAATTGCCATACTGCATAATTGCGTACCTCAATTCTTACTAAGACGCTGAAGTTTTTTTCCTATATTTTACAACTATATCTAAAGCACAACTGTTCTAAAACAAGAACAATTAGTGTGCCTAGTGAATTGTGGCTGCAAAATGTTTAACTACAATGAAAGAAATACGATTTAAATCTTTTATGACTACATCTTCTTGCATTTATATGACTTCAGAGTTTCTTCATCATTCTGCATTTACTATGTCTGCTTCAACATTTATCTGCATCATTCCCAAATCATTACATTTAATTAAAGTGGACAGGATTGAGGTTGCTGAAAGTAACCTCTGTTTGAATGAAAAATTAGTGTACAGAATTAAAGTGCAAGTTTACATGTGCTAAATTGTCTAACTGGAGTTTTAAGTTCTTCAAAAGTAATATCAAGAAAGTAATGAAAAAAAAAAAAAAAAAAAAAAAAAAGGTTTTGCTATTGCTTTTCAGTGCTTTAATTTTACAACTTACCTCTGCTTTTAAACTAGTAATCATTTAAGTAAAAGGAAATTTATTCATCATAATATATTAAAAAGTGATTCAAGACCCTCAATTTCGACTTTCAATACGATTATGTATAGCAAGGATGAAACATGATGTCTGAATGGTTGGAAGGAGTATGAAATAAGCTTATTCGCCCTGAAGAGTCAGTATTATTTCATTATCTTTTCAATTGTTCATTTTAAAGTAATTTTCTTTATATGGCTTTAATTATCATTAACAATTTTTGTCACAATTTTATGCATATCCACTACTACTGGCCATTACTAGTAAAGCAATTTTTCCATGCCGATTTAACTTTTACAATTTAATACTTGCAAAAATGTTTCTAAAACTTTTTAAAATTAAAAAAATAATATTATATTTAAATTATGAATTTGTAAATTTGAATTTATTTAGACTTTTTTGTAATTCCTTTACTTTACCAGCTTTCTTAATTTAACTTGAAATGTAAGAATTTTAGTAGGAATATTCCTAATATATACATATATTTTACATAATTATTTGGGTATTTAATATGGCTATTGGCCTTTTGATATTATTTGAAATATGAAAATTGTTCAAAGCTACTGACAGTGCTTTTCAAATTGATAAGTCTGCTTCGGGAAAAATGGTGAAGTCATTAAAATCTGTCCTTTTGTGTTTAAAATCTTATTATTTGTCTTAGAATGTTTGCATATACTAAGACTGCCTTACGATAACTTAAATGCTAATTATTTTTTTAACTGAATATTAAAAGACACATTATCGAAACATTTCTTCATGGTGCAAACTTCAAAATTAGCCTATTTATAATACAATTAATGCACTAGCTTCTGTAATATGGGGGGGGGAAGATATGTTTTCAACAAACCATTTTCTTTAACAATTTCCGGTATGAAATCTGGATCTAAAGCATGACTAACTAAAGTCTGTAGATAAACTTCAAAATTTTCTCTTTGAGGATGTATAGTATAATCACAGGAACTGAAAAAGAATCATATTATCAAATCATTCATTACATTCCATAAATTAAAAGACAAGCAATATATACTGCAAATTTTATATTCAACTTTTATATTATGCACATTTTACATAAACTGTAAATTTTATATTACATTTACAAAGTTCGCAAGCGCATTTCACTTTTTTTTTTTTTTTTTTGCTCAACAGACAACCAACAATGATCTGACTGCACTCTTATTCATCAGAGCATTCTTAGATGGGCAGTACCGACTAAGGCAAATGTACAAATAAGTCACGCTTTCATGACATGAAAAACGGAAGTTGAATTTCGTCAATCGACCCCGAAAAAAAGGAGATATAGAATGTTCCTCTTTTTTTTTTTTTTTTTTTTTTTCCCCCGCAGTATACAAGACTTCCACTGAATGCAATGGGAATTCAGTTACCAGACTTTTAGTAGCTGCTGCAGAAGTCCATTATACAGCCGATATTTTCTAGATCAAATAGAAATTCTTGCACTGATGCAGCAAGGCCATATTAACAATCCACTAGTCTGGTAATATGGCATAGTAGACAGGTGGATTGGTTGAATGAGATCTATCAATTTGGCTCCATGCTCATCTGATCTACCTTCTGATTATTTTTATCAGGACATCAGAAATCTCTCATGTATAAGACTTCCATTGAGTGCAATGGGAATTCTGTTACCAGACTTTTAGTAGCTGCTGCAGAAGTCCACTATACGGTCGATATTTTCTAAGCCAAACAGAAATTCTTACATCGATGCTCCAAGGCCTGTATACAGAGTAGTTGCCAATTTGAAAAGATTTTGTAAGCATATTTTAGTTACTGGTTTTTACATATGATTTCATTTGTATCTTTTGTTCATTGTACTGTTCTATAATTTATACAATTTTGATTGTAGTACTTCCATGTCAAGTAGTTATTAATGTTTATTTGTCTTCATTAAAGCTTTGTTTTATGCTTGTCTCCCTTGCATCAGAATGTACTCACTATTTTGGAGTGTTCTATCAACTCTTATTGACTTGCTACATTAATTTAGAAACATTCTATATACAACTACATTAATTATTATGATCCCTTACATGTAACCAATTAATAATATATTCTTCTAATCTCGAAATATTCAGCTTAGTCTGCAGGCAACATTCTGGTTTATAGGGATCTCAGATGTCTTGTTTTCCTGCACCCACTATTTTTTCTTCTTTTGGGAGGAGGGTGCTGTAGTGAATCCTTATCTTAATAATACCAATAATAGTTTCAGAAAGCCTTAGCCAGGATTGGCATATGTTTTTAAAAATCTGAGAGCATATGCTATTCACTTTGTTTTACAGGGCATCAGAAAAGATAGTACTTTCCCTTTAGCCTCTAGCAAGTGATATATCCCAAATATTGTTTCAAGCCACATCATTTCTCATCATCCCAATACTGCAAGCATTTCTTATCATCCCTGCATTGCAAACATTTCTTATCATTCTTCGTATGGATTTCTAAAAAGAATGCTTGATTATTTTACTGTAATTCCAATAAGCTTTACTATGATTAAAGTTTGGTACCTGACTGCAATAAAGGAACAAGCCTTACTTTTTTAACCCTCCCAAGGGAAAAAAATTGTGTACTTATGCAATTTGTAAGAAAAAAAAAAAAAAAAATCACTAGGTGAAGTTGCATTTTAGAGATGGTATTTTTATCTCGGCTAAGAAATCCATCAAAGTCTTCGTTTTCTCCACCATGGCTTTCCTCTGCATTCACTCGCAAACCCCACTCCTGACACCAGTTGTTACATTATTTTCTTCCTTCACGTTCATACGGGGTTCGTACAGATTTGGAATGAATAAATACGACACTTGATGAAGTATCGAAACACACTTTATTTAGCCAATATTAATCAGGACAGCTCCAATAACACATTTACACATTCGTCGAAGAACTACAATAAACATGCTGGAACAATCAGCGACACAGCCTTCAGGTTATCAGGCTATAACGGTGGAGACAGCTTCACTGCAAAGCAGCAGTACAGCTTCCGACTCTGCTTGGTCGTTCTCGGAACTCCACGCTACAACTCGCAATGCACTCGACGGCACACAGAGCACAACAGCTCCCGACTTTCGAGACAGAAAATAATGGCATAAAATAATTTCTTTCTTCTTACGGCATACCTTTGTAATTTGAAACACTTCCGGCCAGTAGCCGTAAGGTTCGAAATTCGACACGCACCCGAGCACATCACTGGCTTTTCATGTTACCTGGTTAGAAGACCTATTAGATTCCACAAGTGCCACCCGAACTAAAATTGTGGTGGACGATATTTCGATGCCACAAGGCCTTGGCTTCTCAGTCAGCTGCCTTTAAAGTAAGAGAGAATGTTAGGAGCTTTTCTCCCTCCAAACCATTGCTTTTGTGGTGTAATTGCAAGCACGTTCGACTAGCAACCGGAAAGGTCCAGCGTTCGAATTCCAGCGAGGGCAATGCTGATTTTTTTAGTCCAAAGGGCGTTAGTCCAGAAGGGCTATTAATTTTGTTTTGGCATTTTGTGGCACTTCACTTTTCAAATTGTTGCCATCAAATACAGGCACACACAAAACGCAGTTGAAGCTTTAGGAAATGGGATTTAAAAAAAGCTATACGTTAGTACAAAGCAAAACATGTAAAATAAAATAAAACGCTAGATATTCGATGCCATGTAATTTTAAAAAGAGATTACTTAATTCTTTGCTTATATTTTTAATCTAGCTCTTAAAAGATTTAGTGGGAAGACTTAACAGTAACCATAATCTCAGCCTATTCTATGACAGTGCAACGATTCTACCATTCACAGCAAAAATAGTATTCATACAGGAACCAGGTTTAATTTATCAAGATTGAGATTTTTAATGTCTCTGAGAATCATTTGTCAGTTACAGTGAATAAAAAACTTCAATGAAATGCTCTTAGAAATCCAAGAAAGTTTTTTTTTCATTTTAATATATATTTTTGCATATGAGCATTTCAAACACAAATCTGATGTTTAAATCAAATGTTTTAAATTTTGCTTTAATTTTTTTGATGTAGTTCTACTTTCTTTACATGCATGTGTTTAAGTCTTTAATCAAGAGTGGCATGGAATATTGTCACTAAAATGGAAAAAAATGCCACTGCCAACATTCAGCTAAAATACTATGATTTGTGGATATACTGTGGATACTATGGACTTTAATTGCGTAAACATACAGAACAATATTAAAATTAATGAATTATATTATGAGTTCATTCACAACAATTCAACTGTTCTCAAATACAACATTTTCTCAAGGAATATCTTCAGAGCCAAAGAATTCATGCTGACCAAAACGTCAATCCTTAATATACCTCTAATTTCCTCTCTTGATGGGAAAGTTTCCTTCAACAAATGGACTTACTTAACGAAGTTGGCAACTTTGAAAATGGAAAACTAGAAGGTTCTCATGCCCAGAATTAGAGTTTCCAGGAGGTTTTCCCACTGCACAAAAACATTATTTCAAAAGAACACCAAACTCATTTCATAATGCACGATTCAGGTTGCTGAACTATTTATAATATTATTCTGATGCAAAATACATTAATATTGAAATTTATTACTTTCACTTTTATTCTGAGAAAATCTTGAATAAGGAAGGAAAGCTTTCATTTATCAAAGTACTTTTAAATATGATGAAAATAAAATTAATAATTAATGAATGTACTATTGCATGAATATAAACTTAATGTACCATATTGATATAATATTGATGTAAAACAAAATTAAATACAAATATTAGCTGATTAATCATGCATTGAATTTTCATAAAAAATTCTACAAATGTCTAAAGAGATTAAGAGAATTTAGATCAAATAAAATTTAACAAATTTTGCAGTATGGTTAGAAGCATGACAATCACTCAGAGTGGAAGGGCACAATTTAAGTTTCATTAATTTAATATTAATTTAATACATTTCATTTACTGTTGGGAAACACTTTCCTAAGTAAATGCTAAATATTAAAACTGGGAAATTTTAGTGAGTACAGGAAATGAGGAGAAGTGACAAAAAACTGGAAGTCTTCCAGTGAAACTGGGACAATTGAGAGCTATGATAAGGTGTTAGAAGTTTCATTTCCCACAAACTGGCTAAAAATTTCTTAAGGCTTCACCTGTAATTGCATGCAAGCTAAGACATGCAAGCTCATCTCATTTTCCCACTTGCAGCTGGAGGAAGTCCTATTTGACACTCAAGGCTACAACACTTTAAAATAAAGTGTTGTAGCTTTGAATGTCAAATAGGACTAATGCAGATAGTAATTTATAAAAATAATAAATATTTAAACAAAACTTTGAAGAAAAGCATGGATTGCTACTAAAAAAAAAAGTAGAAGAGAAGACTTCCTAATGGTAAGATTAAATATGCTTACAATTTTTTTAAATTCCTAGTCTGCAGTCTAAATATATGAAATCCCCTTGGAAAAATACTCCCTGTGTGTTATATTTCTGACATGTATTGCTTTAAAATGGAGTTCCAAAAATTAACATATCACTCTCATAAATGCATACATACAAATTTCAAGCTGCTTTTTAATTCTAGATCAGATTAGTTAGAATGCTATAGCGCAGTCATTACTTAGAATAACGATATTTTTAATTTGTACATCTTTTTGGTTTTCCCAAAGTCAGTAATTAAATTCTTTCTATAAACATATGTATCAATTTTCTTTCAAATTGCCCTTTTCTAGATATTTTACATAAATCAGTATGATATTAATGTGTACTTAATTTTCATACACACTTGAAAATGGACACGACCAATAATTATCTTATAACTTCTGGAGCACACTCATCATCAATGCTTATGGTTTACCTACAGAATTATAAAGCTCCAAAGATGAAAACAGGTCCTTAATTGAAAAATGCTAAATGGCAATAAAGCCATAAAGCTTTACTGCCATTTAGCATTAAGTTTATTGCCATTTAGTAATTGAAAATAGTGACACAAATAATGGGGTTAATGAAACAGAATTTTATATGCAATCCTGATTAAAGCACTAAGCTTACAGATTTCATTATGCTGCCTTCTCTCGAGCATGAGAAAAACATTAAAAGAGACTCCATATCATGAGTCTTCTATTGTTAAAACAACGTTCTTAATCACCAATGTCAATTCTTTTTTTACTCACCCACTAATGTCTTTATCATCTACATTTTCAGTATTTTTTAATATTTCTACTATCACAGTATCATCATCTGATTTAATGATTTTCACAGGTTGTTTAGAATATTTATGCTTTGAAGAAGGACTCCACCTTGAATACTGTAAAAAATTCGGAAAAAAAATTACTATTTCAAAATCTAAATTAACTATACATATATAATGTAAACAAAAAGCAACCGTAAGAATTACATACATATATTGATCTATTTAAACACAAATATTTGAATTTTATAAATAAAAAGTTAATAATCACCTACTATTAACATAAAATATCTGATACATAAAATTATACACTACAATAAAATGAAATTAATAATTTATAAAATTTTCATATTTGCCAAGTAAAATTTTTATAGCTCAACTGGCAAAGCAACGTTAGCAAATTTAAGGATCTCAGACTAATGTTACACTCAAAGAACAAGCTTTAAAATGGCATTTTATAAAACTGTTATTTTTCATTTCAATAATTATACTGTTATTTTTCATTTCAATTAAATTAAGCTTATTTCATAACAATTTAATAAAATTATTACCAATTATGTCACAGAAAAATATTTTAAATAAACCATTGTAATTCCAGAAAATAAATAGGCTTCAGAATAATTTTAATTAATTAAAACTGTTATATTCCTAACTTATTTGCAACTTATATGGTGCAGGCAATTTAAAAAATTTTTTTTTATTCGTGCACAAAGTACAGCTTTTGCCTACAGTGATCCTTTATATTACTTTTATTTCATATCCCATTATTTTGAAAATTTTTGCTCAACACTTCATAGCTGTATTACTTTTTCAGTTAGTGATAAAATTTTGTCCATTACAAATAAAGACCAGAACTTTGAAAGTATGGTATTTGTACTAGTACTTTGTATGTTGTTTGTATTTGAACTTACAATGGAAATCATTTAACACAAAACTGAGGCGATTGAAATACTTTTTCGTGTTAAAAGAATTTTGTGTTAAAGGATATTGGAAATCATATATTCAATAAATTTAAGTTTATTAAATGCATGTATATATACATATTTATGTATATTTTATTTAAATAGATATGTATATAAGCATGCATTTAATAAAAATCAATAAAACAACAAAATACAGCACTAAGTGACTGGAGATAAAAAGGTGCTGCCACGTGGAACTGTGTATTGGAAATTCTAAAGATAGGCTATTTTAAAATTATTTTGCGACACTGTTATTCAACTGAAATTTATGGTTTAAGTGCGAAGAACATGATATTTAATAAATAAAGGCAACATACAATACGTAAAAAATAAAATAAAAAAAAAAAAAAAAAAAAAAAAACCTTTAGACGTAATTTAAAATCTGAAACCTTTCAGATTAAATTTTTTTTTTAAATTTTTGTTGATAATGTAGACTTAGCAATACCAAAATCTTAACAAATTTCCGTTTTCCTCTTCTGTTTTCGATCAACAGATTCTTAAGAAGCTCCATCTTTATTTTAAGCAATATAGCTGTTTGCTTTCCTTCTGAGCTCTTTGCCGTTGTGCTCAAAATAAAAAATAATAATAATAAAAAAAACACCTCACTGATTTTTACTCACACTGTGATGCACTCATCATCGAATTCCAAATCCAGCTAATGAGAGATGAGACATTTCTGTGTGGCCTTTGTAGGGGTAGAGGGTGAAAAACAAAATTGGCTCGTGTTACAGGCTATTCCGAGGGTACTTCAATGCCAAGTTAGCTCCTTTTTACGAAACATGTGAAATTCATTTCACATCCCTCTTAAATCTCATCTGCATGGCTGGTGTTTTCCATATTTTGTTCATTCCCAGAAGGGAAATCTTTTCATGTTAAGCGATTTTTATTTCATGTTAAGAGAGGGGGAAAAAAAAAATGCATGAAAATACATAGTAGTTTGTCATGACTGTAGTATTATTTCATGATAATTGATACTTCATCTTAAAAGTTTTCGCATTAAAAACTCAAGCAGATAAATTTAACTTATCTGCTTGAGTCAGCTCAAGTGGCTCCCAGTGATTGAACCCGTACGTCATGTTTATACAATGCATAGCATGGCACTAATATCTAACTCCTTAGCAAACCCTCAAGTGGTTGCATACTAATCTTCCTTCCACAATTTCTCACAGGTAGGTCTCATCAACATCAACAGGCTGGCCGGGCAGAGCACTTTGCTTCTTGAAAGTCATAATGCTTGTACCAAACCTTCTCAGTGTCATATGATACAACATTAGTATCTAAAGCTATACACATGATTTGGTGACATTCTGTAGCTGGCTTTTTGCAACAGAACTGGAAGTAAATGATGATTCTTTTCCAGTAGTGTTATAGTTCCATTTCAAACACTTTGTATTTAACAATAACAATATTTTTTTAACAAATTTCCCAACAAAGTGTTCTAAAGTGAGTCACTTTCTTTCAAATGACAAAAATTGTTTGACAAAATATGATTAAACACGTGAACTGTTTTGCGCTGTCGATATTTGCGGTGGCAAGAAATTTTCGTTAAAACCTGATATTTTTATACTGCACAAGATGACCTATTCTACAATACATTTCAGTGATGTGCCACAATTTTTGAAAGACAGCATTCAGCTCATAATCCAAAATTCATATAACACACTTGACTTGAAAGAAACATTTAAAAAAAAAATCATCACATAAACATTAGAGTTTAATTACTGATGAAAAGAAATTATATTTTAATGCACAAGTTTAATAGCATTACATCAGTAAAGTTATTCTAATACTGAAAAATTATGATTGCTACTTTTTGGATATCAAAAAATTAGAAGATGGAACAGCAAATAGCATTTCTGATACTTTTAAGAACATCTTAGTAAAAAAAAGTTTAATGTAAAGAAATTCATTGGAATAAAAAGTAATAATTATTCTGTTATAGTAGGTGCACATCATAAAACCTATGCAATTTTAAAGAAATATATCCATCTTTTTAGACAAATAAGAAATTTCTATCACTGTTTAGAATTATTCATTTCATATGCAACATATAAACTACCATAAATATTTGGAATTTTGGTACTATTCCGTTCTGAGGACCGTAAAAAAATTGCAGCAAAAATGTATGTGCAAAAGCGCCAAATCTAGCAAACGTGCTCATCTAACAGTGCGTTAAATCTAGCGTACGCACTGATTTCATGTTGCATAAGTTTATATAGTTCTATATTTCTTAAGACGCCATTGAAGTACTAGCTTAATTTTTAAATCCTTTTTTGATATCCTATGGATTTAACAATTTGGGAATTGCCCATGATGAAAAATCTGCAATAGAATTTTTGGTAAAGTGCAGAATCACCCACTGCTTGATGCGTTTTTAAGAATTGCACATATTCGGTATCCATGTACACATCAATCTATTTTCACTTAAAAAAAAAAAAAAAATCCTAGCATTGCACAAAAATGGCACTGTGCACACCCTTGACTTTATCTATGATGATGATGTACACATCGACTTATTTTCACTTAAAAAGTAAAAGAAAATTGACAAAAATCCAATTGTTTTTACCCTTGTAAAAAGCAGCAAACAAATAAGTGGGCGATTCTGCACTTTACCGAGAATTTTTTCAAAGAAAAGGCACATTCATTACAGAAAATTATGTTTGAACAACCAACGAGATGAAATTCTATTTCAGCGATAACTCAGTAACGAAATAGCTATGCAGGCATCCACTCAGTTATGTTTAGAAATTTTTACATAAATTATAATAATGATCTGAAATAGTTATTTACTCTTATGCATCCATTCAGTCATGTTTAGCCTTTTTTATATAAATTATAATAATTAAAAAGTATTATATGAAATTAACCTTTCATCTAAATTAAAACATCAATCTTAGATAGTTATTTACTATTGTACTTCCTTTCTTGCATTAATGTTGCCACAATTATTTTTGGCAGCATTGGTATCAACAATAGTTTGGCGGTTTTTTATGGCCCTCAAAACCGAATAGTACTGGAATTTTTTATTATAAGAGACATAGAAATGATTTGCATATTGCACAGTGCATCAGACCACACAGAAGCAGCTACATCACCCAGTTAGTAATATAATTGTACAACTTAAAATTCAACAATTAAATTAGTCACAAAGGTCAATAACAAAACTCCTGTAGCAGGATGACTCTAAAATTTATTTTGATATTACTTACACTAGCAATAGCTATTACACTGTAAAATGATTAAATCTGATCTATAATGATGAAACAAATCATTTGCTTCTTTTATTTTTACAATCGATTTTATGCAAAGGAAATATTCTGAACCTCAAATTTTAAGCAGATAAACAAGACCCAACAAATTATTTTTTAAATTTAATACTATTAATGAAATCCCTACATAGCAAACCTTTTACTTCTGACACAAAATTTAATATCTTCAAAATAGTATTAGATGATCTTTTGAATCCTAAGCCTTATTTAAGCTATAAAATTGAAAATTAATTGCAAAACAAAAATTATTCAGAAGAAATTATACAAGATTGTGAAAAGAAATACATTTCTTTACTAAAAGCAACTTAAAAGCTGTCTTCATTTATATGCTGTGTTATATACTAATATTTTATTCTTTGGCTAATGCCTTGATCTGTCAAAATACTTCATTACTTCAGTCATCAAATTACTTTAATCAGATGTTTCAGTGGAAATTAAATCACAGTGCAAGCACAAACACTTTGCAAAAACAGAATAATGTTAATATCATTACACTGTGGAACAAAAGTAGATAATAAAATGATCAGGGTAGTGAAAATCTTTAAATAAACTAATTGAATGTGCTTTTAAAATTTTGTGTATGCTGTATAAACATACAGGCATAGAATAAGATTTTAGTTATATTAATTTAATCAAGTCAAAAGCAATAATTTTGTTTCCATGAAAGCAAATTTTAAATAGCATTCTAAAATGTAAAATACAAATGAAACTGTACTAATAAATGCTGCATGGATTACATACCCCCACAAAACATTTTTGATAAAACTGGAATAATACCCTGTTATGATTATGAGTATAAAAATGATAACATAACTTTTAATTTTGATTGAAGATGAAGCTTAATTTTCACTTTTTTATATAATTTTATTAATAAACTGTGCATTTATTTTTGATCTTTTTCAATAACATAAGTTCCTTTGAGTAAATCTGCACCAAATCCCTTTAATGGGGGGAGGGGGGAATTATTAAGCTTCTTTGCAGTCTTTTTTTAATATATATGAAAATATTTCATATGATGCATTATGAAATTTCTTTAAATAGTATTTAATTCATTATTTAACTTGGACTTTTATTATTAAATCTTTCAAAGATTTTTAGTTGAAAATTTTTTTTTTTTTGGAATTTAACAATTCAGTGATTTTCTAGAAATAATGATCAGAATTATTTTTTTAAGAATTACATACTTGCCAACCTATGACACTCAAAAATCAGGAGATTTTTTTAAGAAATCGGGGATTTTCACAATGTTAAAAAGACTTTTTAAATGATGAAAATATAGTTTTGTAATGAATTAACTTTAAATAGTAACTAATTCTAAATGCAGCAACCACAAAATACCTTACACATAAAAACATTTTATACTTGCATCGATTAAGAAAAAAAAACCACTTTAATTAGTTTTCGACAAATGTTTAAAACAGTGGCAGATTTTGCTTTCTTTAAGAAAGAAACTTCATAATTTTGTTCGTAGTAATTGCCACGTAGGCCTGCTTTCGCTAATAAAGCTTTTCTAATGTGTCATCACTAATATTAGATCTAAATTTAGTCCTCGTTTTTGCAACAATACTGAAAATTTCCTCACACTCTGCATTATTATGGGGAACTGTCAAGATGGCCAACATAATTCTGAAAGCTCCTATATTTTAAATTCCTCAGCGGACATTCTGCATTAGCAACTTTTTGGTCCTGTTTCCGAAGAAAAAATTTTATTTTTTGTTTTTTCAACACAACTCATGTTTTGTCCTTGTGTTTTTGTACGCACATGTTTGAGAACTCCGCCCTTCCACCATGCGAAATCGAAAAATCGCAATGACAGGCAGTACACATCACAAATTTATTACATTTCCTGAGGAAAATATGGAGAAGAAAGTCAACTGTGTCCGATTTTGAAACGTACACGAGTATTTCACCTTTCTGGCAGACATAACAAAAGATGATAATTTCTAAAACTATTTCCCTAAGGCACGTATACTCAAACAACTCAGGACAAAATGACCGAAATAACTAAAGAACATCCAAATAACAGCTGGCTTTGTCCTCATTGGCTAATTAATATATGCCAGCTGACACGTAGTGGAGCACGATGCCCCCATGGGAGAACTGGAGAACGACGTTTCTGGATACGTATATGCTCTGCTCTCACTTACAAAGCAGAAGTTATCTAATTCGCAAGGTTTTGTTTTAAATATAACCTAGAGAAAATTCAATTGCTTTCAGACTGCCAAAATCACTTTTTTTTTTTTTTTTTTTTTTTTTTTTTTTTATCATACAAAGTATTAAGCCAAGTTCCATAAAAATCGTGAGAAATTTTAAGAATAAGAAAAAGTCGGGAGAAATATATTGTAAATCGGGTTGGCGGGAGAGCGGTCGAAAATCGGGAGTCTCCCGCCTAAATCGGGAGAGTTGGCAACTCTGGAATTAAGATATTAATGAGCTTGGTACTATTCGGTTTTGAGGGCCGTAAAAAAATATTGTTGATGCTAGTGCTGCCAAAAATAATTGCAGTAACCCTAATGCAAGAAAGGAAGTATAATAGTAAATAACTATCTAAGATTGATGTTTTAATTTAGATAAAAGGTTAATTTCATATAATATTTTTTTATTATTATATTATATACAAAAAAAGGCTAAACATAATTGACTGGAAGCATAAGAATAAATAACTATTTCAGATTATTATTATAATTTATATAAAAATTGCTAAACGTAAATGAATGGATGCCTGCATTGTTATTTCGCTAACGAGTTATCGCTAAAGCATAATTTTCTATAATGAATGATGCCTTTTCTATGAAAAAATTCTCGTAAAGTGCAGAATCGCCCACTTATTTGTTTGCAGCTTTTTACAAGGGCAAAAACAAGTGGATTCTTGTCAATTTTCTTTTACTTTTTAAGTGAAAATAGGTTGATGTGTACATAGATAAAGTCAAGGGTGTAAGCAGTGCCATTTTTCCCCCCCCCCCAATTCTGGGACTTTTTTTTTTTTTTTTTTTTTTTTTTGAAGTGAAAATAGGTTGATGTGTACATAGATACCGAGCATGTGCAATTCTTTAAAATGTGTCAAGCAGTGGGTGATTCTGCACTTTACCCAAAATTCTATTGCAGACTTTTCGTCATGGGAAATTCCCAAATAGTTAAATCCATAGTATATCAAAAAAGAATTTAAAATCAAAAAAGGATTTAAAAATTAAACTAGTATTTCAATGGCGTCTTAAGAAATATAGAACTATATAAACTTTCACGATCTGAAATCAGCGCGTACGCTAGATATGGCGCTTTTGTGCAATTCTGGGACTTTTTTTCTAAAGTGAAAATAGGGCAATGTGTAGAAGGATACCAAGTATGTGCAATTCTTAAAAGCGTGTGAAGTAGTGGGTGATTCTGCACTTTACCCAAAATTCTATTGCAGACTTTTCGTCATGGGCAATTCCCAAATAGTTAAATTCATAGGATATATATATATATATAAATAAAAAAAAAATGAAAATGAAAAAAGGATTTAAAAATTAAACTAGTATTTCAATGGCGTCTTAAGAAATATAGAACTATATAAACTTCCACAATCTGAAATCAGCGCGTATGCTAGATTTGGGGCTTTTGCGCATACATTTTCGCTGCAATTTCTTTACGGTCCTCAAAACGGAGTAGTACCGTGACAGACGAAGTGCAGATGAAAACAGATGAAGTGCCAGCACCAAAAAGAAGAAAAACTGGACAAAAGATCAGCTAAGGTATTTTATAATGTCAAAATACATAGATGTCATGTCTTTTAGAAAGGGGGATTTTTAAAGGGCTCTGTAAAAGAAAAAGGATTTTTTTTTTTTACATATATAAGCTAAAAAACTGACCATGTAGCCAAACTGTTCTGCAAACCATAATCTCAAATGAAATTAAATATGTTACATAAATTTAATCACTTATTAATGAATCCTTAGTTGATAGAAAATGAAAAAAAAGTTTAAAGATACATTTACATAGAAAAAAATGCAACATAAGGCATTTTACTTCTACAAATACTATTACATTGTGTCTAATGTGTTCCCATTACTGTAAATTTTAGAACAATTTATACAATTTAGTACAGTTTATCCAAAACTACATGTTATATTTCAATTATATAAATACAAATTTTTGAAATAGTTTATTACAAATATGTCATATACACTGGTGTAAGAAATTAAGAGAATTTTCATATCTCCAGAACTACTGGGGAGATTTTAATAAAATTTGGTGTGAACATAGGTTGATTTAATACAAACAAAATACACATTCAACAATTATAATAGTCACACATGTTCGTGTGTAAAACTTTTGGGAGTCTGAAGATCTGAAACAGCGGTTGCAGAAGACACACACACACACAAAAAAAAAAAAAAAAAAAAAAGGGGGGGGCTAATAGGGGGTATGGTCCCCTCTTACAGCCATACAGGCCTCACAGCGTGATGTCATACTGGAAATAAGGCAGTTTATCAGTGCCTGTGGCAACTGGTCCCACTCATTCAGCAACACTGTTTTCAGTTTCTGGATGGTTATCAAAGGGGGTTGCAAGTTGCAATTGCCCTCCCCAGAGTGTCCCAGACATGTTCTATAGGGTCAAGGTCTGGAAAAGTGGCTGGCCAATTCGTCGGGTGAATATCCTCACTCTCAAGAAATTTGTCGACCAGAAGAGCTCTATATGGCCTTCCGTTATGATGAAAATCGGTGTTTAGGCTAAAACAGAATGGTCACCCATTGCTCCGTACTCAATCACTATCAGCCTTCACCATGCTAATCGGACTCTCTTGTCTGTAGACGTGAGCAGGACATAAACAGCCAGTCTTCTGGCAAACAACCCTCTCTCATTCAGTCTTTTTGAAACAGTCACCCTTGTTACACGGGTTCCTGCGGCTGCACGGGTTCCGAGAGAGCTGAGAAGATGTAGCCCTTCTGTTACGCCTCACTAAAATGGACAAATAGCGATTTTCTCTGGCCATAATGGCTCTTGGACGACCTACCCCTGGCTTTCCCTCGACGGATCCAGTATCTTGAAACTGTTTCCATACATTACACACAAAGCTTGGAGGTAAATTAAACTCTCTTCATATCTGGACTTGCGATTGGCCTGCCTCTAGCCTCCCCACAATTTGCCACCTCATTCCATCATCTAAACATTGGTGGTTACTCATTTTTACTGTTCCGATGTGAATTTAACCAATTGCTGCAAGATAACACCAAGAAATTCGCCGAGGTGGGCTAGCGAATGCAATTCGTCTTACCATCCACATTCTTATAAAGCCTGTTTTTCTGCTGGCTCTGCCTACACACACGTGTACGTTTACATATTTGACATACAAGATTTGAATTTTTATCTAGAAGCAGTGGTTTTCCCTTCAGTTCAGTTCTTTTCATGCAATTCGATTAAATACGCAAATTCTCTTAATTTATTTTACCACCAGCGTATTTTAAAAATACGCATTTTTAAATAAAATCCACAGTTTTAGCTTAAGTATATTTTGATAAAAATTAAATACTTTAAAATAAATATTTTAATTAAATAATTCTGAATTAAATACACAAAAAATAACTTTAAAGCAAATTAATAAAAAGGTAGAAAAATCTTACAGATGAAGTATTACGATATAAAATGCTTTTATTTTCTCCATCTTCAAGTGCTTCAAACAACTGTAGTACATTCTTTCCTTCAATTCTCCAAATTGGTGGCTTTTCACAATTTTTACTTTCAATGCTGACCACATAGTCCCCAGTCTATAAAAATAATTATAAAATTGTTTATATAACTTTTTTAACAGAATCTAAACAGGAAATGCATATAAATAAGGAAAACTTATATAAATGCTGTACTCAGATTATCAACAGAGTAGATGCAACATATATCAATGTACAACACACATGCTTAATTCATTTATCACAGTTCCACTTAAAGAAGTTTATTTTGCCATAATCATTTTGCGTACCTTTTTCAGCCTTGGGTAGGCTCTTACTAGCATCAAAGAGTATCTGAATGACCACTATGAAAATTGACCCAAATTTAACCCCTGAGAACATACTGGCTTGGTTGCATGGGTATTTGCATAATGTTTTCCAAGTGTAGCATGAATACAAGCCAGTTTGACCTAAAAAGTTTTCAGTGAAGGCATTTCTCTTCACAGGTACATAATCCTAATATTATCCTCTGCTGTAATCATATGAAAAAAAATATGACAATAACATCTGAAAAGTTTGCGCATAATTATTTGTTAAAAATTAAATTACAATCATTTTGTGATTTGATGCACAAAAATTTTTGTCTGATAACATTAGTACTGCTACATTAAACATGTATTAGTATTTTTAATACACGTAACAATATTAAAAACACTGCTGTATTTTTAGAGTATATTGACAGAAAAATCCTGTAACAAAAAATAAAAATTTTTCAAATTGTTACCCAGTAACATAGATTCTCTAATATCAAAAAGGTTATGCTGAGAAATTTAATAAAATCATTTTTAATAAATCAAATTGAATTTCTCTTCCAAAATGCATTAAAATTGTTAATTTTCTTGAATAACTCATAATTTTTTAAATTAAAAATATTTGATAATTGATTTTAAAATGATGCTTAAATGTTTTCTTCTGCAGTGTTATTTTGAAGCAGGACACATGGACAATTGGCAATGCCCTCATGAGGACTTGAACCCTGGACCTCTTGAATATGCATCGAGATTGCAATGCAAAGGCAGAGATGGAAAGGACGGAAAAAATACCTTATATACCTAAATACCTTATATACTCCCCTTTTTAAAAGACAACTGGGAATTAGGGCATCCAATTGCCAAATCCTGGTACTGAAGAATAATTGTCCACCACCTTTTAGTTTAGGCACCACTTATAGAGACAATAAGTAATTTTGAAGCGGAAGACATGAAAATGTGCAAAGCCCTTGCCAGGACTCGAATGCTGGATCTCTCGAATACATGTCGAGTATGCATCCAATTACACCATGAAGGCATGCGGAAAATACCTTATGCTTCATATTTCTTTCTTTATCAGTTGAAATCAGAATTTAACTCCAACCCTTGTAATATATACCCTCACTTTTTTCTAGTAGTTTCACATTTGAAGTAAACTGCATTGTGTGACTTTGAAGAAAACTTTACATTAGAAAAGTAATTAATATTTTTACTTGGAATAAAGGAAAACTGAGTAAATTCATAAGTGTTAGAACAAATAATTTTGACTTCATTATTTGCCTTTGTGATTAATCAATTATTGGCCTTCACAAAACAATGCATTTGCTTCATAGAATCAAACAGCATATAGTCTGATTTCATGACATTATATCACATAACACTTTTCTGACATAAATATAAGATTAGAAATCAAATTTCTTTCTTTTAATTACATCTGAATACTTCTTATGTATTTAAATTATGATTAATTAACCTTATAATTTTAGTTTAGTATCTTGTTAAGCTGACTTTTCGATTATTCAAAATCTTTTGCTGCTTCCTCCCAATTTCACCTTACCAAAGTTTTATTATATTTCTGGCTGAGTAAGGAATGTCAAAAACTTGCACGAAATTAATTTTACCTTGAGATAATCTCAAAGAAGAATGATGATGACATAGTTCAATAAGTACCACACCTTTCTTGACAGAATAAAGTAACAGATCTTAATTTGTGCTAAATGCTTTATGCATCATGTAAAAATAAAACAAAAGAGAAGAATGCTACTAATCTTAATTATGCAGCTTTTTCAACTATCAAGAACCAAGCTATTCACAATGCAGCCATTTTCAACACATTACTTTATTTTTAAGAAGGAATGTTTAAATATTTTAATTTACCATTATTCATATATATGATTTAAATACATACATTACAAATATAAGGTACTTATGTATTAGCAGAAGAATCTTAGTAAAAGTTGCCAAATTTTCAGGATGTGTGAAACTTTAAAATTAAGCAACCTATAAATAACAATTCTTCAAAGAACCATGCTTATATTTTAGTTTTAATATGCCATGTCACCACTTTTTTATACATTTGTTTTGTTGCACTGCAAACTCATGGTTTTTAATCAACCAATCGTGATAATCACAGTCCAAACTCAATTTTAAAATTAAACAGTAGTAGGATTTGCCTGTGGTGGAACAGACTGTTGTAAAATTTCTGGAGCAATACAGTAGTTTGACAAAAAATTGCTAGAAAGAACTATTGCTTTGAATCTATTCTGAAAGTAAATGCTACAACATGTCCTTCACTGCAAAAGAAACAGAAACTTGCCTATAAGGTAGATTTACCGATTTTAGGTACATATACCTAATTAAAATGAAAAATATATAAGTAATAAATAATTTTTTAATAATACATCATTTTTTTTCTTCTGCAGAAAATCACCACATTTTCCTGAGGTGGTGGTGCTAATATACAGCTGCCAAAGATAGCCAATTTTTTCACTCTTACCAAACTTAGTCTTCGACTACAGAGGCTGTTCACACATTTTTTAGACGATGTATATTGTATTCACAAAACTAAATTACATAAAATTCTTGTGTTTTAAATGTTGTATTTGACATCCCTTATTCTGAACTATCTTTCGACACCGTAATTTCCAGGATAATAATGCCTTTTGAAATGGCAGAAGAGGTATTCTATCCCATTCCTCCCGAACAGCTTTCCTGTTAGGGTTTTGGGACAACGTTTGGATAATGCAGTTTCTAAAAGTCCGAAAGCACAAAAATCTATAGGTGACACATCGGGAGATTTAGTAGGGATATTAGTGAAGGGTATAACCTTGATACCAGTTTTTTGTTCCATTTCTTTTAGGAAATTTACAGTGGATTTTTATGTGTGACTGCTAGCTTTGATTAAGTCTCACAGATTGATGGCACTGTGGGAAAAGCGATGGTATTTCATTCAGAAAAATTGGTGATAAAATATATTCCTGATAGTATTTGGAGTTAATCTTGACATTTCTTTGCACTCTCTTTATTTTTAACTTGCCATTATAAGAAAAAAAAAACCAGCAACAAATCATGAATTCCTTAGAAAAACTTTTCTTTCGATTCTTTGAACCATGTACTTAAAATTTTTTTCTTCTCTTTTTTATGATAATAAATGGCTCTTTTTTTGTTTACAATCATTTGAATACACCCATGCTTCATCTATTGTGACAACTGTTTTTTCCCATTTTTTCTTTGGATAAGTGTTTCTCATATAGAATTCTGCAGCGTGTCCTGCGTTGAGCAATATTGCTTTGGAAGAAGACAATGCACATTGTGTTTTTTCTTTTTTTTTCGCTTTCTTAAGATTTAAATCAACGTTTATCATTTTGTTTACAGTGGACACCGAGCATTTTAATGATTTTGCAACTATCCTTTGACTAGGGGGATTTTCTTTTAACATTAAACAATGTACCTTTGCAATAGTCGAGGATGTCTGTTCTTTCCTTGGATACTTGTTTGGAATTGTTGTCCCACTTGAGGCTCCAATTTGACATTTTTTTCCTTTCTTGTTTATGATATTACCTATCGATGCTTTAGTATCACAAAACCATGACTCTCACATCGTTTTTGGATAACAGAGTATGCATATTTCTTTTCGGAAAGAGTGTAAATGTAGCTATCGAACCACTGCTTTGTTAAATTCGCCATTTTGAATAAAAACAAAACTTTCAAGCCACAGATGATAATTTTGACTTTTAAAAACATAGTACAATTGCAATTACTTCCTTTGTAGCGAACGATTTTTTATTACGCTTACCAAAATCGTCTAAAAAATGTGCGAACAGCTTCTGTATTTGTACAAGTGCCTAAATTACATTGTGATGATAATGCTATAGATGTAACATAAGCAATATCAGAACAGACAGCACAAGTCTACTTTGAAAATAAAATATCAAGAACATACTCTACATATAATACTCAACTGCAAAAAGTCAGGAATGTTGCTAAACTTTCATCGTTATGGTTTATCTTGCATTAAAATTTGCCAGAATAATATGAATTCATCTAAAATTAATTTAAACTGAGGTTAACAACAGCATTCATTTGCTAGCTATAGCCAACAACAGCAATAGTTAGCATTATTTAGATGCTAGCAGATAAACTTATAAAGAATTCCAAAACTGGCAATATTTCTAATTAAATTACAATGCATGGAAAAATTAAAAATTTTTAAAAAAAAAATATATTACAGAAAAAAAAAAATTATCCCACTCCTTTCAGTTTTGAATACAATCGTTAATCTATACAGTTTCTGTAAGTTGAAGCACATCAACTAGGTTAAACATACAATATAAGAAATTTTTTTTAAATAATGTAATTTTTAAAAAATAACCGCACATTTTAAAGGACTTCACAGTGCAATCTCGATTAATTAAAAAGCTAAAAAAATGCTGAATGCCAGATAAGTTAAAATTCTAGATATTTGAGCAAGCATATAAAAAATGCAATTCACAGAAGAAAAGTCATATAAATGGGAGTATAAATATAAATGAAATTAGTCTAAAATTATAAATACAGTCATCTTATTTGTTATCAACTTGAACATCAAAAGCATATATTTAAAATTATGTACAATTTTGGGAAAAGAAGCATTTTGGACTTGGAAAGTTGACATACTTTGTACATACAAAAACTAAAATTAATATTGTATGACCATTGTTTATCTGTTTTTAATTAAAATCGCATATATCAACCATTAATGCATACTTTCCTTCATACCAGGATCATGTAACCTTTGAAATACTTCAATACATAATGTTCTACAGAAGGCAAGTACCAAATTTTAATCTTTTTTTTTTTTTTTTTTTTTTAAATGCGAGGGGGAAACAGATAAGTAGCAATTAACAACTTATTTCTTTTTTTTATAAAAACTAAATTGGATTATCAAGAACTGAATGGATTTATATAAAACCAAAGTAAGAATCTTATGATTATAATGTGACATCACACTTATTCATTTTGGTGTTAAATCACACTGATGATAATGTTCCTCAAGTGCTTTATGATGGCATTATAAGCCTCTAATTTGCTTATTTTATTCCCGGAAAGCCAGAGTTTCTAAATTTTAAAATATTTCAGTTACTTAAGCTTTCCACTTAGCTAAATGTCAGACAGTCTGGCTTTTACTGTAATTATAATTTCACCAAACAACTGAATTAAATTTTCAAACTGAATTTTACCTTAAAATGAGTTTCAGAATTCCAACAATTTTCACCATTACTGAAAGATTTTTTAGCTGTCATTTCATCATTTTCATTTGAACTTGCATTGTTAATTCCTTCATCACTAGTTTTTGTTACTTCTGGTTCAGTAAAAGGTTTTGATGAAGAGCCTGCCTTTTTAAATCCCCGTCTTTTCCTTTTCGTCCGACTCCTATATATTTTCTTCTTTTTTGGAATAACTTCTTGAACTTCTGGAGAATTTGTTTCTGGTACAGGAGGCTTCTCCTAAAAGAGAAAAGGATATTTAGTAGAAACTTTATATAGCACAATACTGCTAACTCATTGCAACATATCATAAATATGTAAAACAACAATAGAATGATGGTACTTGCAGACAAACATAGCTGTTGATTCAACACATTTTATTTTAGGTTAAAGAAATTCTAGAGATGTGACGTATCATCCACAACATTATAAGAGCAATAGGCTCTCCACAATTTTGTGAGCTTAGCACATCATAAGACAATGGATGGTACAGAGAAGCAAGTGGCAACATGTTACTTTGATGCAGGTAAGTGTGAAAGTGTGTAGTTATACAATATGGAGGCTTAGTTTACCAGGAGAAAGGTTTCAGTTTGGAAACTTTAAGTTCTGAATTAGCTATATCATCTTTATTATGTAAAGGATGAAGAAGGGAAATATCCGAATTAAAATGAAGAATAAAAGTGGTTATTGCAAATTAAATTAGAAGTTTGCTTTACCTGTTTTTATCTTACACTTACAGATGCTAACACAGAGAGAAACATATCTCTCTCTCTTTATATATATATATTTATGCATGCGTACATGTTGTATGTAAAGTACAAACTAAATGGTCATGTAAAAAATAAAAAAATAAATAAGATAAAATGCTAACTTTAATTAATTTGCAATGGACCCTTAATTTTTTCTTTTCTTTTCTTTTTCTGTCCTAAAAATACACTGCTTATAACAAATCGCTTTAACATTTGTCATTTCAAAACGAATCCTCCTCAAAAGATTCTTATACAGAGCTACTCAAATAATGCTACAATCTATGATAATTTTCAAATTGAAGCTTAAATACCAACATAAACAAAATGAAACTATAACTGAATTTTTCTTAAACCAATCTTCATGTGAAAAGCATGTAATTCTTTTTCTGCTTCACTGCCCTGTCAGAAATTATATTTCTTCCATTTACATTAATCACAAAAATACAAAAGATTTCCTTGATCAAATAAAGGCATGCATTTTTGTACCAATTTAGCTGTGCCTTTATCAAAAACATTTTAATCAAGAATAAGAAGTGTTCGGTGTGCTACAACTGTACCTAATTTAGTATGAATTGGTTGCCATCATTAACAACTATGTTTTCAATATCTAAATCATCATATATATACATTTACTTTTAAAATGAGATTTGCAAGCCAAAAATACAATTTTGTATGCTTTTTTAAACTAACATGTGATTTGTTTATTTGGGCCAGGTCTGGTTCCATAGAAACCAAATTATATATATAGTGTATATTATTTTACACTCATGTCCATAAATTAAGGATAATGCAAAATCAGGCAAAGGAAGAGTTAGAAGCAAAACAAATTTGACTTATTTGTAAAGCTTATTTATTAAACAAAAGGTAAAGAGCAAAAAAAGATGCTATATGTTTGATATTATTAAAAAAATTAGCGATTTTTTTTTTTTCTCCCTGGAGCAAATTAAAAAAAAAAAAAAAAAAAAAAATCTATTTCCAAAAAAAAAAAAAAACCAATATTACATAGTTGGTATGATTGTTAATACATTGTATGTCTCCCAGACGATGCAATACAGTCCGTATAGCATATAGTCCGCCTAGGCATGCTGAGTATCAAACTATCGATCTGATCTTGGCGGATATTACACCACTCAAAAAGCAATGCTCTCCGAAGTTCCGGTAGACATGTAGGAGGAGGTTGACGGGCTGCAACTCGTCGGCCAAGCATGTCCCACACGTGCTCTACTGGAATCAAGTCCGGTGAGAATGCTGGCCAGTCCATACGGGTGATATCCTCCGATTGAAGGCATTCGCTTACGATGTTTGCACGGTGAGGACAGGCGTTGTCATCCATAAACACAAATTGTGCGCCCATGGCGCCCCGAAACAAACGTACATGTTTTTCCAGAATGACGTCCCGATGGATTTGGCTTGTCATGGTTTCAATTTGAACATGCATGGTCAGTTCTGGAACCCAGAATAATTCCACCCCAAACGAGCACTCCTGCACCACCGTAACGGTGTCGTTCAATGATGTTTTCTTGGTGGTAAAACGGGTACCTGGAGCTCTCCATATGAAAGTCCGGCGAGAATCAGACTGCAAGCTAAACCTGGACTCTCGTCGGAAAACATCACACAAGCCCACTGTTGCGGTGTCCACAATGCATGCTCTCTACTCCAGGCTAACCGCAGGCGACAGTGAGTTGCAGTAAGTGGAACGCATCTGACAGGTCTACGAGCATAGCATATAGACCAATCTGCCCTAAGCGTCTGTACACGGGTCTGCCTTGAAATTGTCGTACCAGTGGCTGAAGAGAGCTGACGAGACAGATCTGAGGCTGTACTCCGTCTGTTTTTTTTTGGCAGTAACTGCCAAATACCGGTCCTCATTCGGCGTTGTAACATTCTGGGGCGACCTGTGCTGTAACGTCTACTCACATTACCATCTTCTTGGAATCGTTGCCAAAGCCTGGAGATGACACTCTGGGTAATTCCAAGTTCGTCTGATACTTCCAGTTGGGTACGCCCACATTCCGGACGGCCGATAATTCTCCCACGTAAAAAATCATCCAAACAAATGCGTCCTTTGTGTCATAACTATTCGGTTATTGCACTGAAATGCTTATAAAGCCCCTGCGAACAATTTTACTTCTTTGCCTGTATTCCTTATATATCACTCTCTTACACTCTCGTCATTCTGAAGTACCATCAGTGTCATCTGGTTACTTCCTGAAATTTGCATATGATTCTTGAAGATGTGCGTAGTGATTTTACAGGTGAAATATTTATTTTAGAGTTTGATTTCCGGGTGACTCTGAATTATCCTTAATTTATGGACATGAGTGTAAATAGACTAATTTACATTACTTTTTAATTATGATTACTCATTATTTGAACATGAACATTAAAAATTTTTTAATTTCTTTAGGCTAAGTTTGAAGTAAATATTTAAATTTAAGAAATTGCTTGTTGAAAAATAAATGATACTTTCTTTGATTTCTTTTGCTTTCTTATTTAAATGCAGTAATTAAAATTAAGCATTCAGCTATGAACTACTTACTGCTAAATATTTGCCACAAATGTTATCACACATAAATATTAATGCATAATACAAACAATTTAAGTAACCACACAGTTACATAATGAATGTATCTACAGCAATATGTAATTGATTTCAACATACTTTCTGTTGTTCTACATCTGGCTCTGTAGGCTCACAACCCTTAACAGCAGCAACTTTAGTATTTTCTTCAACCTCTTCATACACATATTTCCTCTTAACACAGTTCCTAGGCTTTCCTTATGAAAATGAACGATTATTTGTATATAAAAGCTATTTTCAAAAATATTTATTTTTAAAAAATGAAAGAAAGGATAGATAAAAAAAAAAAAAAAAACTAAGTACATATTATTCAAACATAGAAATAATTCTAAATATATATACTTCCCATCAACAGTAATGATTAGTCAGCTAATATGCCACTAATACAATCAAATATTGAGATAGATTATTATAAATAAATTAAGTAATAGCAAATAGATAAAAATTAATATCTATTACATTAATTTGCTAATATTATGCTTTGTTAACTGAGCACCTTTTAGCACCAAATACAAACACTGGCATGAAATCCAACTAGATGGTGGCAACTTTAGCAATCTTAATTAAAAAAAAAAAAAAGAAAGAAAGAATGTTGGCTCTGTTAACACAAAAGCACTGAAAAAATACACAAGCATTAATAAACTTAAAGAAATGAGCTAAGAAATTAAGAATTTTAAATAAATAAACAATTAAATCTATGATATCATATTTCTCAAATTGTCTTGGATCCCATGAAAATAAAATATAAAGGTAAAATACAGAAGAATTTATTTCTTTTAACTTGCTCAGTTTACGGAGAAGCAACAAACTGATTATATTTCAAAGAAACAGACCTTATTTTACTATGCTTTTCAATGAGTGTTTTCATACAGTTTGCTTATCAGTGCAAAATAAAAATATCATAAACGTGCTGAGCTAATTTTTAATATTTACAAAATTACACTCTAAATGCACTCTTTTGCAAAAAAATCGAAGCACCAAGAAGGACTTTTGCAATCGTGGCGAAATTTGGTATGCAAAAACATCTTGATCGAACATGCAAATGATCAAAGTTTTAAGGCAAATGAACGGGAATTGCAATCACAGCGCGTATTTCTAGTGCGCAATTTGCAAAGTATAAAACCAGTAACAGAGGCAGAAAATTTATCTTTTTTTGTTGCTGGCCATTGTAATTCCGTAAAGAAGCAACTAAAGATGACATTACGACGATATCGACGACCTTACACACAACTAAACGATGTCAAGCGTGGTCGCATTGTAGGGTTGCGTGAAGCTGGTTGGTCATATCAATCAACAGGCTGCCACGTACTGTACAGCAGTATCTGTACTGCAGCGTACAGACACTGCTGTGCAAAGATGTTGGAGCAATAGTTGTTACAAAGAAATTGTCGACAAAATGAAGGATCACAAATATGAGGCAAGATAGGATGATTGTTGGCCAGGCCCAAACTGTTCCAACGGTATCATTGTTGACTATTCAATGCATTACAGCCATGTCTACACCCCCCCCCGTGGTACTGTCCACCATCTCACAGCGCTTGTCTGAGGCGAGGTTACGATCATATAGGTGTTTAAGATGTTTGCCTTTGACCCCACAACATCGGTGGAGTCTGAGTGGTGTCGCAGCCGATCATGATGGCTGCCATCAGGCTGGCATCATATAGTGATCAGCTATGAATCCCGCTTCACTCTTGAAACAGATGACCATCGTGATCATGTCTGGAGAGGATGGGGACAGCGGTCTTAGTCAGCCTTTGTTTTAAAAAGACATACAGCCATGACCCCTGGTGTCATGGCGTGGGGTGCTGTTTTGTATGACCGCAGGTCATCTTTAGTCATCCTCCGTACATCTTTAACAGCTCAACGATATGTTGATACCATCCTGCGACCGGTTGCATTACCCTTCACAGCACGTCTTCCTGGGGCCATTTTCCAACAAGATAATGCCAGGCCACATACTGCTCGCATATCTCTGAACTGTCTTCGTACAGTTGATACTCTTGCTTGGCCAGCAAGGTCACCAGACCTTTCACCAATCGAGCATGTCTAGGGCATGGTAGGCCGCCAGATTCGGGCCCCATAAAATATCGTAGATCTAGAGTGACAACTGATAAATGCCTGGCAGAATGTGTCGCAGGATAACATTAGGAACCTCTACCACGCCTTGCCTCGACGAATTCAAGCATGCATTGACACCAGGCGCGGTTCGACCAACTACTAAATTTGAACACTCAATGGGTGATTGGGAGCAGTGAACAGGTACTATGACCTTGAATTTTTAATAATTTTATTATTTGTGCATGAGCTATATACATATTCAATTTCATCAAAAACAACCACTTCCTTCATGGTACTTTGATTTTTTTTGGAAAACAGTGTGATATATTGTAGATATTTTCATTAATTCACAATACATAAGCTAAAAAAAAAAAAAGTATTTGAAACAGGGCTTACTTTTTGTCAAACCTGAATTCCTTTTTTTCAAACTTCTTTCTTTACACTTCCTCATTAACTTTCTTCTCTGGACATGCTGCACGGTCTTAATAATTTGAACTTCTTTGGTTGCATTACGTGTTCGTTTTGGTTTTTCTACTGCAGTTTGAGGAGTTCTTGGCATCCCAGATGACTTTTCAGTGTTGCGCTTTACTTTAATAACAAGTAGATGCCGTGTCCTTCTCCTTTTACCTTTCCTAGTTTTCATAACACAAGTACTTTTTATCGTACACTTTTCTATTTTATCATCTTTCGTAGATTCCTCTTTCTCAAGCATCTGTTCGTCACTATTGGATACTTCATTCATATTTTTAAGGACAGGCATCTCTTCTTTATTTGCATTACTTTTGCCAGAAGACAATTTGTTGTTTTTTTCACTGTGATCTTCTTCATTATCTTCACAAAGTCTCTGAATAGCCATAGCAACTGAATCAAATATTCCTTGAGTAGAATTTTCATCTTCATCTGAAGAGAATGATGGAGCTTCAGGATTCGGCACAACCATCTCTTTCTGTAAAGTTGAACAACCAAATAGGGAAGGATCAAGAGAAGGTGTTTCATCAAAATTATCCTTATCATCATGTTCTACAATAAGACTACTCCTCTTAGCATTCTCATTTTTATGATCTTCATTTACAGAAGCTTCATTTTTTTCTCCCACTTCATGATTCTTCATTAAAGAAGTGGCATTTTCTTCCTTTTCACTTTTAGTGTCATGGTTTACAGGTTCAGAACTAACAGTTGGTTCATTACTGCCTTCCAAGAATGTCAAAAAAGACTGCAGAAATCCTTGTTCTTTCTTTCTTTTTTTCTCTGAGAAACTCCCTTTGGATGCACTGTCTTCAACATCAGGATCAGATGACAATCCTGCAAGGAAGCCCAAGTCCTCTTCAATACTATTACATAATTTTTTTGATTCATCAGACAAATCATCCAAGGGAGGTGACCTACATATAGGAGACTTACATTTGCTAATTTTTTTAATATCATTTTCTACAGTTCTGTTTTCTGATTCATCAATATTTTGCATCTCAGAATCACTTGCTGAATTATCTTTTTTAATGACTGACCATTTTTCTTCACATTCTTTACCTGTTTCATAGCTTAATTCAGGCATATTATCTTTAACTTTACTTTTTTCTTCCATTGAGTCTTCTTGCTTTTTTATGCTTAAATTCAGAGAAACATGGGAAAGATCAACTGGCAGTGGAGAGTTTGTAACAGAAGGCAATTCACTGCCTACAGGAGGACTATCATACTGATGAGAAGTATTATTTGATAGCACATTTTTGTTCTCTTCCATACTCACAGAAGTTTCAGGTGATGCTAACTGTTGTTGGTTATTTTGCAAATGAGAATATGTACAATTTAAAGGCAATGTATTTCCTGGTATGTCACACCTACGCTTACGGCCTCTTTTACATTTGAGTTTCCCTTTTGGAGTAAAATCAAGAGCAGGTGGTGGTGAATCTGAAGAAAATGCGAAGACATCACTCTTATTATTGTTCAGAGAGCATTCAGATCTTGAGGAGATTAATGAATTTAAGTGTTTTACATGAGCTTGATTCTGTATACCAATGCTCTGTCTTCTGTTGTCAAAACTTCTTTCCACAACAGAATTTTGATACAGGTTTTCTTTATTCAATTTCACCATATCAATTGGTAATACTGAAGATAAATGCATTTCCTTTTGCTGTGATGAACAATTCCTTGTTATTACAGCAGGATCCACATCAGACAGATTTTCCTCAATCATTTTTGGAGAATCATCAGTGTTGTCATGCATTTCAGAACCTAATGCTCCATTCATCACATTATTACCATAATTAGTCTCTGAATTTGAATGAGAACGAACATGATGGCTTTCAGCAAAGGGTCCACTGTTCATACTAAGGTTACTACTTTCTATGGAGTACACAGATGGTGAAGAGTGTTGAGATATATCTGGCTTAGCTGGAGAATCTGATTCTGAGTGGCAAGTTCCAGGTGTAGAATAACAACCATCATTAGAAGGAGAGTGATACATAACAGACTGGCTATTAACTGAGGAACAACCACTATCATGGCTCAGAGGTAAAGGCGTTGGAACATATGCCTGACCCATTGAAGAAGGAGGTGTGGTATGTGCAGGTGTTGATGCTGGGATTGGAGTACTCATAGGAGGGTATACAGCTTGTCCAACTGAAGAATGGTGATTATTATGCACTACAGCTTGTCTTACACCACTATTCTCAGCACTGCTATTGCTGGAATGTGAAGGTAAACAAGAAGTTGGATGTGCTGAACCAGATGGATATGGATATGCTTCTCGAATGTTATATGAATGACTCTGGGGATGAGATTCAGAATTATACATCACAGAATTGTTACTAATGTTGCTTGTGATAACTGACTGACGTGAAATTTGGCCATTGTGAAGATGGGTGGAATTGCCATTTAAATTGCTATTTGGCACAAAATTAGAGAAATTAGTGTTGGCACTGGCATTTGTGCTAGTTGCAGGGACATCCTGTTTTTCGCCATTAGGTTCAAAAGTTCCAAATGTTTGTGAATAACAATATGGTGAAATTGAACTTCTTTGCACTGGAGGCTGAACGTTAGAACAATACGAACTATATGCTGCAAAATCATTCTTTGAGCAGGAAGAATAGTAGTTGTCACTCACAGATGAGAAATATGGGTCACCCTGAGGTGACAAGAGAGAGGAATGTGAAGTATTGCTGCTATCAACATAAGAAGATGGAGGTCGAGCTGGTGAAGAAAGAATGCTTCTGTACCCACGACTCAGATCTTGATCAACAAATGAGTTACTAGGTAAAGAAGCACGAGATTGCTTAGATGCTTGAACACTTAACTTATCCCCACCTCGTCCTACAAGATGTGATCTGTGTAGCACAGTTTCATGAGGCAACACACCAAAAGGTCCACAAGAAGGAGGAATGATGCCAGAATGTCTCCATGAGCTTGGAGGCATTGAATTAGGGAACAGATGTCCAGATCCAAGCCCAGATCCACTTGACAAAGCATTATTCCCATCAGAATTTCTGGCATAAGCTGACATTCCACAATGTGAAAAGCCTGTTCTCAGATCATTAAAATCATTTTCTCTATTTACAGCTTTGAAAAGTCCTGCAGCTCCTTGGGGAAAAGATGAAAGGTGACCCTTAGTGGCTGATGGAAAGGAAGTAGAGAAAAGACTAGCATCATAATTAGCGGCAAATAAATTTGCATTAAAAGAAGGATCATTATGGTTTGCCTGAGAAGGGTTTAAGCCATGAGAAGCAGCTAAAAGAAAATGGTGCGGTCCCCCTGAATTTCCATAACCTGGAATATGCTCCTGACGAGGCAGAGATGATGGCAATGCAAGATCATTCATCTGAGCTTGTTGGGAGAGGGATCCAGGTGGATGATTCATTGTAGCTCCTAGCCGAGAGAAATGCTGACTGTACGCCGACCATGATGTAGGGTCCATGTCTCCACCAAAAGAGAGAAAGATTACCTTGTTTCCTAAGCAGAACCTATAAAATCAATATATATATATATGAATGCTTTTCAGCTTTACGAAATATAATTTTGTTTATTTCTGCTATTAAAATACACAACTATAAATCATTTAAAAAATTTATTCTCAGAAAACTTTACAAAAGATAGGATTCTTTTTTAATATTTAGAGCAAATAATTCATATAGAAGAAATTATTATACATTATACTGTCAACAGAAAGAATCAATTAGTAGTTTCTGTCACATAGCTCACAAATTAAAAAAAAAAAAAAAAAAAAAGAAAGAAAGAAAGAAAAAGTAGCTAGATAAAAGATACCTTAGCTGAAATGAATTTTGAATAAAAAAGTGAACAGGTTATCTAGTGTATCTAACCAACAGTGTAATTTTTCAAGATCATTTGACAAATGGTGTAAATGGAAAGTATTTCAGGCTCATTTTCTATCTGCCTTTTATGAGAGATACTTATCAGTGCAACATAAATTTTACTCCAATTGCAATATGCTTCAACACAGTATATTATGACAAACCCTCCTAACATTTTTCAAAGTATCTGTACATAGTGCATATACATCTATTCTCAATAATTATGGCATCCCAAAAGGTCACAGGTAAAAATTGCAGAAAAAAGCAAAATGCATTAACTTTGGTGCCAATTTATAAAAAATACTACTTATTTTCAATCTAAATACTTCAAGAGATTCCATAAACACTGAAGCCCCTCTTTACATTTTTCAAAGGACTAACAGAAAAAATGTAAATGGTGCAAAATTATTATTATTTTTTTATAAACTTCCAGTCAAAACAAGTGTACCAGTCAAAGAAAAGCTCATTAGTAATACATAAATTACTGTTTTGAATTTTATAAAATGAATAACTTTAAAAAAGATTAACAGAGACAACTGAAGGTTCTTTCTCATTATCAGCACTTCCCTGTAAAATATTCACAAGGGAACCCAGGTAGGCACGAGCATGCGTAGAACAGCATGAATATCCACCATCAAATTTGACAGTAACTTTATAGCTTAATTTTTTTTTTTTTTTTTTTTTTTTTTTGGCTTCGAGTACATTTTTTTCCTTCTTTCAAAGAATTGTAATGGAACTGTGGAGTTTGCTAGCTGAAGAAAAAGAATGGTGTTCAAAAATATGGTGTTTGTCCAACAGTAGAGAATGCAAAAATTTACATTCCATGAAGTTGTATTTCTTAAGTGATTGAATTTGATAGACCAAAATTTGTGCACAAAGTAGAATTGTGCAAAGATCTAATATTTTTTTAAGTTTAACCATATCTTTTTTTTTTTTTTTTTTTTTTAATGACGAGCCCTTTAAATATTAACTTGGCAAAAAATTAGTTATCCACAAGTTCACAACTTTTTGGAGGGAGAAGGATAAGGATAGCCAGAAAGTACCAAATAGTGTCAAACACTATGCTTCAATATTTAATAATAAAAAATAAATTCATATGCATTAAAGAAAATAACTTACAGAATACATATACACATAACTGTTATTTTATTTCTGCTTATTATTCAATTTGTACAATATTAGAAGCCATTTATTTAATACTATTAATACTTTGAAATTTCAAACATTTATTTACATGATATTATAATTGTAAGGAAAATCTCAAAATACCAAAAAATATCAGAACTAAGCCGAGACTACCTGTCAACGGTTGTTCCAGCACAGGCTCTTAATATACATATATAAACCTTAATAATAATTAGATACAGTGAGTCTACTAATAGAATATTTGTTTACACTTTCAATATTTATAGAAAAAAGAAATAAATCTTATCTACTTGGATTCTGCACATGCTTCTTGATGAATAAACAATTTTATTAACACTTGACATCAGCAGCTTCATAGTTTCCTTGAATTAAAGCAGGAATTCACTACTAGGATATTATTCAATAAACAGAACAAAAATACATAATTGAATTGAATTCATATCAACATTACAATTCATAGAATGCTTATATCACTAAGAAAACATGGATCAGAACATGCATGGCAACGCCGGAAACTGATGCCATCTACAAAAAAGGATACATAAAACTCGTGTCATTAAAACATTAATACATTAAAAGTCTCATGTTCATTCAATAAAGCTATTCATAAAACAAAGAATATCTTCTGAAGTTTATTCATGGCATTACATAACATTCTCCCACCGTTTTTTGCCACCTTCGAGGTAAATCAACAAATTTTGAAAGTTCAACAGCCCAGTCTCTTCAGTATCTTGATTACTCTACCGTGTCTTGACGTCTGAGGAGCCCCTGAGGCACCCTTCTGAATTGGACTTTCATTCTGTGATGTTGCTGGTGGGCCATTAGTACGATGTTGTTTTGGTATAATGGGATCCCCAGAAGAATTAACTTCTAGAGGGTAAATCTTTTAGACTGGACGAACGAGATTACGAAGTGGAGTTTTGACTTTGATGACTCTCACATGGCCGTCCCTAACTGGATACATTTCTTCAATCACTGCAAGTGGCCAATTGTCTCTTCTGGTTTTCAGAACCAACAAGGACCACTTCTCCAACTTTGAAAATTTTGTCAGATGTGCCAGCTTTTTGCACCGACCTAAGTATTCTTTCTGGAATCATCATCTGAATTGTTCATGTAGTTCTTGGCAATAACGTTCTCTCTTTAACAGTTTATTCCTATCTAAGTGATCAAGATCACCCATTCCAAACTCTTTTACATCTTGGAGAAAGTTGGATGGTGTTAGAGGTCTCCGTTGGAGACGTATGTTAACAGTGGCTTCTGCGTTGCAAAGAACTGTGGGCAGTTCCTCATACGTAACAGACGACTTACAAAGAACTCAAATACATAGATTTTTCACTATGCGAATTAGTCTCTCCCACCAACCATCCCACCATACAGCAGTTGGGGGAATGAATTTTCAGTTACTTGGATTTAGAGTTTCAAGAGCAGCTATCTTTTGCCATTCAATTTGGTTCAATGCAATACAGACACCGATAAAATTCGTGCCATTGTCACTATAGAAAACTGTCGGACGGCCTCATTGGGCGATGAATCTTCTCAACGCGAGTGTACAGCAATCTGCACTTAAGGATGTCATAATCTCCAAATGTATTGCTCTGCAAACTGCCCATGTAAACAGCACCACCCAGACTTTAGTCCTTTTCCTACGAGTAAAGTTCGAGCATCCCGTACTCTGTGTAAAGGTAAATGAATAAAATTCGTGCCATTGTCACTATAGATAACTGTCGGACGGCCTCATCGAGCGATGAATCTTCTCAACGCGAATGTACACACAATCTCCCAAATGTATTGCTTTGTAGACTGCCCATGTAAACAGCACCACCCAGACTTTAGTCCTTTTCCTAAGAATAAAGGAACCACACCAGTCAATTCCGGGTGACTTCGAAAGTTCGAGCGTCCTGTACGCTGTCTAATGGTAAATGAATGGTAGGTTGAAGGTGACTTTGTTGTGAATCTCTTGTAGGTAATGCATTTCTTGATTATTGACCTAATTGTCTGTCTAGCTGAAACAATCCAGTATTCTTCTCTAATCACTGACATGAGCATCTGAACACCGGCATGAGAATTCTTTTTATGCTATTCGAGTATTAGACTTTGCACAATATGATGCTTTGATGGAAGTAGAATTGAATATTTAAATCCAAATTCATCATCTCTTTTGAGAATCTTTGTTTTCACTCTTATCAGTCCTATCTCATCTCTGACAACTGAGAGACCATTTATTACATCTCCAGTTTGAGAAAACGTTTACGCTGAACTAGTACACCCAAAGTATTTCTTGACTCCTTTAACTCGCCTGCAGACATGAATTTTGAACTATTTACAGATTTTGCCTGACAGCTTCTAATGAATTTTAGAACCCATGCCAAAATTCTTACAATTACTGAAAAGTTCGAATATTTTTCATACCACTCAGATGTATCAGTACTCATACTAACATTTCATACTACAGATTTCTTTCTGATTTCTGAGGAAAGTAATGCCTCGTTTGGTTTAATTTCAAGGCGTGGCCAACTATCCTTTGGATTCTTTAACCAGTTAGGACCCTCCCACCATGAATTTTTAGAATTTGATGAGGGGTACAACCCCTAGATGGTATATCAGCTGGATTTAACTGGCTTGGCATGTAAGACCACTGATTTGCCTCTAAAAGTGAACAAATCTCTCTTTTCGAAAGGTTGTCTAGATTTGGTACAGGCTTAAAATGAATAGAAAGGCTATCATCCGTTCTATCCCATAGAATACCCAAGAGTGAAATCTGATTCTTAGAAAGAGATTCCGAATTATCATTCCTCGAAATTTTATTAACGTCGTTTATAGGACCGAATGTCCACATCTGTAGGTCTATCTTAGCTTCTGCCAAAATGTCAATTGATGTATCCATAAAATCTTTCAAATCTTCCTCTGTGTCAAGAGAGCTTTTCTGCTACGTGACTTTGCTTGGCCGACACTCTAGACAAATGGAAGGAAATGATAGCACCTAAAAGATACGGGCTGGATCTAACACCAAAAACTACCTTCATTAGACTATCCTTTTTCCACCAAAGGAACCTTAAAAAATCTCTATCCTCTTTTTTAAGTTCAATTCGTAAGAATGCGCGTCTTATGTCCACCATAACTCCTATGCATTTCTCCTTAATAATAAGGCAGGTATTTCCTCAATCAAATTCTTTCCATTTACCAAACAGTCTGGTAAGAATAGTGTAACGTTAGAGAGTGCTAAGAGCACCATCCAGTGTGTTCAGTTAGTTCATAGAAGATGTAACGCAGTGATGATGCGAGATTTCCGAGATTGTGATATTATTATTTTTAATTAAATCAATTTATATTTTATTGGTTGCCTTAAATGAAATTTTATGTAATACTATGAACCACCACATTATTAAAGTTGGATTACCACTGAACCTTCAAACCACTGGTGCACATTTAGTGCATCTGCTGAAAACCAGGTAGGAGAATCTTTATTGAATTATTGAAACTGAATTATAACTGTATAGAAATTAAAT